GGGAACTTACACAAGAACTTCCCAGTGGGTCACCCATCATGGGAGTGCTCTCGTGCGCTACTCGCTTAACTTCAAAGTTCCGATAGAACCCGAAGCTAGTGAGCTCCCAAAAGGCCTCGTGCTAGGTAGAGATGGGAATATACATATAAGGATCACTCCCTAGGCGATGTGGGATGTTACAATCCACCCCCCTTATGGGCCCGACGTCCTCGTTGGCACACCACAGTCAGGGTTAGGCTCTGATACACACTCTATATAATAATAACAAAATGTAGCTAGTACATATGTAATATCACATGAAAAATAATTTACCTACAAAATAAATAAATGTTTTTTTGCCAATTGATTCAAATTAATTAATTACATATTATTTTACATAAAAATATAGATAAATTATTTGTACACATATATATCATTTTAACAAAATGTGCCTAATACATACATGCAAAATAATTTACCTACAATGATTGTCACATCCCGGGCCCGCTCCACCACCATAGCACGATATTGTCCGCTTTGGGCCCCGACTACGCCCTCACGGTTTTGTTTCTGGGAACTCACACGAGAACTTCCCAGTGGGTCACCCATCATAGGATTGCTCTCGCGCGCTACTCGCTTAACTTAGGAGTTCCGATGGAACCCGAAGCCAGTGAGCTCCCAAAAAGCCTCGTGCTAGGTATGGATGGGAATATACATTTAAGGATCACTCCCCTGGTGATGTGGGATGTCACAATGATTGTCAAACAAATAAAAGAAATGAAATATATGATGGTAAGACCTACTCCAACCCTGGGCTAAATGCCAAATATTTAGCCCAAAATTCCCCCCAAACACCCCCCAACCCAAGCTAAAATATTGGGCTAAAAGGGGAATGCTAAAATTGGGCCAAATTCCCCCCCAAATTCCCCCCCCAGCCGCGTGGACTCGCCCAGTTTTGGGCCACTCTCGGCCCGTGGACTCGCACACGCGCCCCACGCCCACAGCTTGCAACCGGAGCCCGACAAGAGGGGGTCCCACCGTCAGGCCTTGTCGGCCACTCTTCAGAGCCCCAACGGCTCTTTTCGAAATCAAACGGGCAGGATTTAAGGACCGTTGGTTGATCCAACGGTCCAGATTCAAACTTTATTTTTAAAAAATATATTATTTTAAAATACATTGAATCTAACGGTTGAGATTGAATATACTCAAATCTAACGGTAAAAAAAAGATCTAACGGCCCAAATTTAAATCCAACGGCTAAAATAATTAAATAAATTTATTTAACACAAAATTTACCCAAAAAATCTATAAATACCTATCTATTTGTTCAAACATCCACACAAAATTCAATTTTCTCCTACAATTCTTCCAATTTATCTTTCTATCATTTCTTTCCATTTCCAAATTGTTCAACATGGCAAAGAGAGCATGTTAGAGGTCGTAATTGGACCTTTGAGGAAGATGTTTCTTTATGCTTGGCATGGGTGTCTGTTAGTGAAGATGGTGCAGTTGGCACAAATCAAAATAAAAAGGTTTTGTGGGATAAAATCATTGCAAAGTTTCAAGAAAACTGCAACGGCAGCGGGCGAGACGGTGGTGGTGTTTATGATCGGTGGAAGACTATCAACAAAGCATGCACTTTATGGAAGGGAAGCTTAGAGAGAGCCATGGTTGGCATGCCTAGTGGAAGGAGCGCCATAGAAATTGTGAGTTTTTTTCTTGATATATTTATTTGTCATGTACATAATATTATTTTGCAACTAATTATTTTTATGTATTTTTTGCATAGGGTGACAAAGCAATGGAAATTTACAAGACAAGAGTAACACCAAAAAATCAAGTTTTTAAGTTGCAACATGCTTGGGACGTCCTCAAGGATTGTCCAAGGTGGGCAACCGATGCAGACCAACAATGGGGAAGATTATTTCAACGTGAAGCCGCACCAAGAATGAATGAAGGTGGCGATGAAGGTGTCGATGAAATGACCCCATCTCCTTCTTTAGCAAGGCCCTCGGGAAGAGATAAGCAAAAGGAAGCAAAGAGAAAAGGGAAGTCCCAAGATTCCCCGAGTGGAGACTTTGCTATCGGAATTGCAAAATTGCATGAAACTCATAGCGCTCGCCAAGAAGAAGCGGCCCGATTGCGTTTGCAAATGAAGGAAATCTCGGATAGGGAGGAAAATAGGTTTGAAATTGAATTCATGATGAAGGACCTCAGCAAATACACTCCAGAGAGGAAGCAGTTCTTACGTAATAAGCAAAAGGAAATTATGCGAAAGTCTGCCTCAAGGCGTATGTTTCAAGATGATGAATCCTCTGAACCCTATATCCCAACATTTCAACGAAGTCCATCACCAAGTGAAGATGGTGGATATGATTGTTAAGTTTATGTAGTGTATGAATTATGTGCTTTATTAATTAAGTTTATTAATTGTCGTTTGTATTAAGTTTATGTTGTTTATTATGTGGTTTATGTACTTTATTAAGTTTATGTCTTATTATTATTGTTTCTATTTAATCTAAATGTCTTCAATAATTATTGTACTTATTATTTCAACCTCCATTCAATAATTCAACCTCCATTCAATAATTCAACCTCCATTCAATAAATTATTCAACGTAGTAGACAAATAACAACATAGTACACTTAAAATTATTACATAAATGCTCAACCAACATCATCAACGTTCACCTTCTCGGCGCCACACATGCTCAACCAAATCCTTGCGGAGTGTGTCATGAATTTGAGGAGCTTGAATTCTATTTAAACGTCTCATATACTCACCCCAAGGTGACCCTATCATGTCGGGTCTCATATGTGGTTGGAGCGAGATATTCAACATCTCTTGCAATAGCTCTCGCATGTGTTGGTTGGTCATCATCCACATCTTCGTCTGAATCTTCTTCAATTTCGATGTACTCATCTTCCACAATCATATTGTGCAAAATTATGCACGTCATCATGATTGAATGGAGGTCTTCGGGTTGCCAAAATCGTGCAGGCCCTCTAACAATGGCCCATCGAGCTTGTAAGATCCCGAATGCTCTCTCCACATCTTTCCTGTAAGACTCTTGCCTCTGCGAAAATAATTTCTTCTTTGCACTATCGGGATGAGAAAAACTTTTGACAAAGGTAGACCAACTAGGATAAATACCATCAGTTAGGTAGTAACCTAGCTCATACATATTACCATTTACCTTGTATCGAAATTCTGGTGCCCATCCATTCACAACCTCATCGAACAGAGGAGAAGACCAAAGAACGTTGATATCGTTGTTTGATCCGGGTGAGCCGAAGAATGCATGCCAAATCCATGTGTCGTAAGATGCCACAGCCTCCAGCACGATGGTTGGCTTGTTATGACGACCCTTGAATTGGCCAGCCCAACCAGTAGGACAATTCTTCCACTCCCAATGCATACAATCGAGACTTCCTATCATGCCAGGGAAGCCTCTTTTGTCTGCCTTGCGTAGAAGCCTTTTCAAGTCTTCACGAGTTGGCTTGCGGAGGTATGTGGCTCCATAGATGGCTTGAATTGCTTGACAAAAGCGCTTCAGGTTCTCAATAGCAGTACTCTCCGCAAGTCGGCAATATTCGTCAGTTGAGTCAGCATAGCACCCATTAGCTAGCATTCGAAATGCAGATGTGAGCTTTTGATGAGGTGATAGACTTTGTCGGCCTACGACATCTATCTTCCTTGCAAAGTAGTGGTCATGATTGACAACTGCGTTCAAGATGCCTTCAAAAAGCTCTCTCCTCATCCGAAACCGCCTCCGAAAATCATGAGCAGGAAATCTCGGCCGCTCAATGAAATAATCTTTCATCATTTGCTCATGACACTCTTCTCTATCACGCTGCACGAATGAACGCCCCGTGAGAGAACCATGACGGCTAGATTCGCCATGGTCCTCATATTGCATAAACGAGTTTACAAGTTCAGCTTCGGCGTTGATCAGTTCTAAATCCTCAATGTCAAGCCTTGCTTGGTATTGTGCCATCTCCATTGCCCTGCTACGCCTTCTTCTATCACTCATTGATGAGATATTGAGAATTTTTAGGAAACAAAAAACTCTTTGAAAGTTGAAAGATTGGTGAATATAGAGGATGATTGAAGGTTGAAAGATTGTGTGATCAACTAATATTGGACCTGTGTTTATATAGAGGATGATTGATGAACGGTTGGTGAAAGTTGAAAATTTTGTGTTGAACGGTTGGTGAAAGTTGAAAGTTTGGTGTTGAAAGTTGAAGGTTTGGTGTTGAATGGTTGGTGAAAGTTGAAAGTTTGGAGTTGAACGGTTGGTGAAAGATGAACGGTTGGTGAAAGTTGAAAGGTTGGTGAAAGTAGTTTGCTTTGTAAAAAATTTAATGATTTTTCAATATTTATCGGAATTTAAATTTTTTTAGATTAAAATGTTCATAAAATTAATTTACAATAATCTACATATTTATTTTTAAAAAAAATATTGATTTAAGAAAAAAATTAGCCTAAGTTCATTCTTTAATAATTCCGGGCTAAAATTTTAGGCCAGAAGGGTTGGAGCAGAAAAGATGTTTCTGGGCTAAAAGCCAAATTTTCCGGGCTAAAAAATTTGGCTTTTAGCCCAAGGGTTGGAGATGGTCTAAGAGAAGTTTAAAGTAGATAATTTTATTTATAATAATAAGGCACTTATTTTTCACAATTATGGTGGATAATTAAATTCATTAACATAATTAGAGTGTTATGGCACAATTGTAAATAGTTTAAAAGTAATAAGTATTTATTTCTTTACATGGCAGTCTACTTCAAATTTGGGTTTTATTTGGATGTTTAAAATCAAATAGGTTTTTGTCAAGAAAATAAGTGTTGCATGGACGTATATCTAAAGAACCCTAGTTTTTATAATAGGGAGACCACTATATTCTCAGACCCACTCTATTTGGCAGGAGAAGAACGAATCTTGTTCAGCACACCGGGCGAGGATCAAATGATATTTAAAGATTACAAATATTTTTTCCCATCTGCCTCACCCACCCACCCCCACCCGACACAACACCTCTCCATTTCTCTCCAATAATTCATCCAATTCAGAAACCCTCCTCACCGACCCTTAAACATGCAGTTATCCGATAACGATACGGGTGTTGATCAAAGGGCGTGAACTTCAAGGCCTTCACCATCATGGCATCATCTTCTGCATGTGTTTGGTATATATGGTTGAGCATGCAGGTTTATGTTCGAGTGACAATGGATTAGATCCCAACAACTTATTGCCACTTCCGGACCAAAATATTGAATCTGGGCCATGTAGATTATTTGGGAAGGTTGAATATTCTTGTGCTTATAGATATGAACTTTGATTTCATCTTCAAAGCTCACACTGCTTTACACACACACACACACACACACACATTCACATTTATAATATATGTGTACGGATATCATACAAACTATGCTTTACACACACACACACACATTCACATTTATAATATATGTGTACGGATATCATACAAACTATGTGGGATCCCTCTATGGAAGCTCCCTGTGTATCGGGTAATCCTAGAAGGTGAACGTACTTGGTCTTTTCTGTTTTTCTTGTTTTCTTATCCATTTTCTTTATGGAGGTGACCATAAGTTTTCTTACCGATTCATTCTATTTTCCAAGCAGATCCTTTTGCTAGTCCCAGATTTGGTTAATGTATTTGCTCACGTTGTGGCATCACCAGTTGAAACTCCTAAGTAAAAGCACAAATCGGAAGAGTTTTTTCTCAACTGATTTCATTCTATGGCCAATAGATGCGGCCCCTTTTGAGTAACCTCTCCCCTGCTTATGCAAATGCCCTAGCCGCATTTGTCCCGAAAATCTGATTCAGGATGAGCCTGTGACTTGCCTTCTCATTGCCTTTACTCCAGGAAGCCGGTCGATTGAGCCTGTGGATTGTGATTCTTCACCAATAGTTTCTACCCGCCTTTTTTGCTGAGATTCTTTTCCAATTCAAAGACCGCGGTGTGTTGTTCCCATGTTTTATAGATGGGTTGGCTGAAGTCTTGGAGGAGGACATCGTTCTATTCTATAAGGTATGCCTGCGACCTAGGGTGAGAAAATTAGCAAATGCCCCAAGAGGCTACGAAGCTTATTTTGCAAATTGCATTAACCTTGTATACGTATTTTCTGTTCATTCTTATAGGTGATCCTCCTCCTAGTAGCACCTTCATTTTCAAGGCTGGAGATACTGCCTTTTCTTCTTCTTCCTTATTTTCATGCAATATATATGTAGATTTTTGGTTTCAAAGTGTTTTCTATTTCATAAGTAATTCTGAATGTACAATGCAGTGTATATAGGCGAGAGAAACAGATGGTTACAAGCAACCATCTTTACATGGAACCCTAGAGACCGGTTAAACCTAGGATACAAGCTTTTCCTTAATTTAAGGTGATTTACATCAAATCCAAGACTAAGAAGTAATCAACAAGTTAAGTACCTTAAATCAAGGAGCTGGAAAACTGGCGGTTGACTTGTGTATCCATGATTACTTGTAGACTTGAAATGAGATGACATGCTAGGGTTGCTGTTGCTAGGGTTTAGTGTGACTGGCTCCAACACTCCCCCTCAAGCTGGATCGTGAAGTGTAGTCGAGCCAAGCTTGCTCAAAAACCTGTGTAACTGAGAAGAGGGTAAAGCCTTAGTGATTAAGTCAGCCAATTGATCATGGCTTCGAGTGAATTGAGTCTAAATGACTTGTGTTTGAACTTGAGCTCGGATGAAATGGCAGTCCACCTCAATGTGCTTGGTTCTTTCATGAAAAACAAGATTAGTTGCAATGTGCATGGCAGCTTGGTTATCACACATGAGAGCCATAAGGGCTTGATGTGAGAACCCTAAATCTGAAACCAAGCCTTTAAGCCAAATTAGTTCGCATGCAATGGCTGCCATTGCTCGATACTCCGCTTCAACACTCGATCGTGCTATAACAATTTACTTCTTACACTTCCATGTCACAAGGTTTCCCCCAACAAAAGTGCAATATCCAGTGGTAGATTTTCTGTCAATTGTACTACCTACCCAGTCTGCATCGGTGTAAGCACTAATTTCTGTGGACTGATTGTTTGACATAAGAATGCCTCTGTCCAATGAACCTTTGAGATAACGAAGAATACGTTTAACAAGGTGAAGATGTTGCATTGTGAGAGCATGCATAAATTGACTAACTAAGCTGACAACATAGGTGATGTCTGGACGTGTGATAGTGAGGTAGATAAGCTTACCAACCAATCTTTGGTAGTAGCTTATGTTGAGGAGAGGTTCTCCAGTAGAATTAATCTTCATTTTGCTGTCAACATGTGTGGTGGCAGACTTGCAATCTGTGAGCTTAGCCTTAGTGAGTAAATCAACAACATACTTTCTTTGATTGAGAAACAACCCTTTGTGAGACTTGGCCATTTCAATGCCAAGAAAGTACTTTAATCTCCCAAGCTCTTTGATGGCAAAGGTGTGGTGTAAGGAGTGTTTCAAAGCTTTGATTTCACTTTCATTGTCACCGGTGATGATTAGATCGTCAACATAGATGAGAACCACAAGTTTGCCACTTGAACCACTTCGAATAAATAATGAGAAATCAACATTGCTTCTTATGAACCATGCCTTCTCTAAGACAAAACTTAGCATGGCATACCATGCTCTCAGAGATTGCTTGAGTCTATAGATTGCCTTATGTAACTTACAAACCATTCATTTTTTCACTTGAGTGTAACCTGGTGGGCGTTGCATATAGATTTCTTCTTGAAGTTCTCCATGGAGAAAGACATTTTTTACATCCATTTGGTACAAACACCACCCATAGTTAACTGCCATCGAAAGTAATACCCTAACAGTATTCATTTTTGCCACTGGGGCAAAGGTTTCCTTGTAATCAACCCCGAATGTCTGAGTGAAGCTATGAGCCACAAGTCTGGCTTTATGTCTTTCTATTGAACCATCTGCCTTGAGCTTGGTTTTGTAAACCCATCTGCTTCCAACAACCTTATTTCCTGGAGGCAACTTGACAATGCTCCAGGTATTGTTTTCTTCCAATGCATTTAGCTCTTCAGCCATAGCTAGTTTCCAATGTGGCAAGGAAGTAGCTTCTTAGAATGTTCTTGGTTTAGCAGTCTTAGAGACTTCAGTGAGAAATGCACGGTGAGAAGTCGAATACTTTGAGTAATGTAATACATCAGAGATAGGGTACCTTGAGGCATAAATGACATAGTCCAATAGCCTTGCTGAAGGCTTTCTTGTCCGAGCAGGATTTCTTCGTACACCTTGAGTTGGCTGTGAAAATTGTACATTGTCAACTTGATCTTCAGAGCCATGTTTAACGTCGTCTTGTGAGATGACCTGTGGATTTGAGGGGTTTGTGACTTGTTGCAATTCCTCATTGAGTTGAGTGTCATGTCTTGCTGGAACATCATCATCATCTTGTTCTGTGTACATAGGTAACAGGAACAAGTCATGTACAGACTCCCAATCACTAGGAACATGCCTTTGTGGTTGGAAGAAAAGAGTGTCATCATCAAAAAAGACATCTCTGGAGACAATACATTTGTTGGTGAGGGGATTGAAGCATTTGTACCCCTTTTGTGTAGATGAGTACCTACAAACACACATTTTGCAACCCTAGCCTCCAATTTTTCATGATGTTGAGGCTGCACATGGACAAAGCATGAACAACCAAACACTTTCAAGTGAGACAGGTTGATAGACCTTTTTTCTAGAGTTGCACAATGAGATTTAAAACCTAGAATACGACTTGGGAGTCGGTTGATGAGGTATGTAGCTGTCAAGACTGCATAGGACCAAAACTTCTTTGGAACATTCATATGTAACATCAATGCACGAGTTTTTTCAAGTAGGTCTCGGTTTTTTCGTTCAGCAATCCCATTTTGCTATGGGGTTCCCACACAGCTAGTTTGATGTACAATTCCTTTTGAGATCAAGTATTTAATCATGGTGTTGGATAAAAACTCAGTTCCATTATATGATCTTAGTGTTTTAATAGTTGAGTGGCATTGGTTTGACACAAGTGAATGAAAGTCTTGAAAGATAGTTGAAACGTCACTTTTAGCTTTCATGAGATAAAGAAAAGTGACACAAGTACAATCATCCACAAATATGACAAAATATTTGTAACCTTCCATTGATTCAATAGTAGGACCCCATACATCGGTGTGAACAAGTTTGAAAGGTATGCTAGACTTAGACATTGAGGTTCCAAAAGGTAACCTAGCAAACTTTGAGAAATGACAAGTATCACACTTAATCAATGGGTGACAAAACTTGTGGAATAGTTTTGACAAAACAACTTTGGATGGATGAGCTAGCCTTTTGTGCCAAAGTTGTTGATCCTTTGAAGAGCTTGGTTGAACTTGAAAGGCTTTTGACAAAAAGGGCTTCTTGCAAAAATAGTAGAGACCATTTTGATAGAATCCTTCACCAATCATTCTCTTGGTGAGAGCATCCTGAAAAATTACATTTGTGGGTAAGAATATGGCTAGGCAATTTAGAGTGTTAGTGAGTTGTCCTACGGACATCAACTGAAATGGAAATGAGGGTACGTATAAGGCAGTAGACTCTATGGTGTTTGAGACTAAACCTAGTTTTCCTCTTCCCATGACTAAGACATTTTTTCCATTTGCAACTGACACATGAGATGGTTTTGACAATACTTGAAAATCATGCAAGTTTGAGGCTTTATTTGTCATGTGATCAGAGGCACCCGAGTCAATTATCCAACAATCATAATTAAAACTAGTTTGTAGTGCAGTTGAGAATGCTTTGAAGATACCCGGGACTGCATCTCGTGGAACATGATCATGATCAGCAAGAAATCCTGCAAAATGTCCAAGAAGTGCAGTTTGTTTGTTCCCTTCACCATTTGACGTTTGTGCAGCTTTTCCATGATTCTTGGTTTGCAAGTAAGCTGCAAACTCGTTGATAAAAGCAACATGATTGGTTGTGAAATCCGTCAAGCCATGAGTGAGTGAGTTGGTAGCATGGTTGGCAACATGCTGAGCTTTAAGAGGAGCCACTAATGAGGATCTTGGGACCATCATCCTGTTATATTTGAATTTAGGCTTGAGTTTGGGGTGCAGCTCCCAACACCTCTCTTCTGTGTGACCAAAAGCATTGCAATACTTACATTTTAGATATGAATTCTTTCCTTTGTACATTTTGGCATCATGGTTCCTGTGGTTTGCGACATACCCTCGAGCCTCAGATAGCTTGGGATTAGGCTTCAGATTCATCACCTTCTTTCTTGCTTCTTCACGTTGCACCGTGGCACAAACAGTTTTGAATGATGGTAGCTCCATGCTCATTAATATGTGACTCCTAAGATCCTCATATTCTGAGTTGAGGCTTGCGAGCAGTTGGTAAATCTTATCCTCATCAGCTCTTTTAAGAAGAATAGTAGGATCTGTGGTGTGAGAGAGGTACACATCAAGCTCATTCCACATAGTCTTCAAACTGCCAAGGTGTTAGACAAAAGACTTGTTTTCTTGCTGGAGGCAAGCAATATCTCTTTTCAACTGGAATACCCGAGCATAGTTGTTCTGGTTTCCATACATATCCTTCATAGATTTCTACAAATCTTGTGAAGATTTAGAATAACTAAATATCTCAGCAACATGTTTCTCCATGGTTTTGAACAGCAAGGGCATAACAAACTGATCCTTGCACAGCCATGCTTTATAGCCCTGAGAAGATGAGTCTAGAGTTTCAACACTTCCATTGATAAACCCTAATTTTCCCTTTCCTCCTAGAGCAAGTGAAACTGCCCTAGACCAAGGAAGGTAATTGAGCTCATTCAGCAACACCGAGCATAGGTGCTGGTTGGTATTAACTTCAGAGTCTAAGAACTCGAAAAAGCTACCTGCGAGCTTTCTCCCTCAAGATTAACTGAGTTTTCCATAGCCATTACAGAAGCTCACAAGAATAGTAACAGAAATTAAACGGGCAGAGACAGGTCAAGGATGACACTGTTCTGATACCATGTAGATTTTTTGTTTCAAAGTGTTTTCTATTTCATAAGTAATTCTGAATGTACAATGCAGTATATATAGGCGAGAGAAACAAATGGTTACAAGTAACCATCTTTACATGGAACCCTAGAGACCGGCTAAACCTAGGATACAAGCTTTTCCTTAATTTAAGGTGATTTACATCAAATCCAAGACTAAGAAGTAATCAACAAGTTAAGTGCCTTAAATCAAGGAGCTGGAAAACTGGCGGTTGACTTGTGTATCCATGATTACTTG